TTTTTTGAAGGGTCTTACGTCTTGCTACAACTCCACTTAGAACTTTGTCTTGCCTTTGTTGAAGAGTTAGAAGTGAGCAGTTTAATGCATGGTCAAATTCATTGGTCATGCTACAGTGAATGCCACATGCAGAACAAAAATAGTTCCCTCCCTTTTGTTGACCAGCTTCAAAGGACCTGAGAGGACTGTCACCATGGCAAAATCTCATCTTGTCAACAAACTCTACTTCATCTTGAAGTTTAATATAAGATTCCTGAAGGCTTTGTATACACTCCATACGTGTCTCATTATACAGTAGAAGCTCACTATCAGAACTTCCACATTGGRCAATAAAGTGAACTTCAGGTGACTYAATGATCTTTTGGACGTTAAGGATCTTTCCTGTTTTCAACTGGTACTCTTCATTTGTTAGAAACACAGCTGGATCATACAAGCATGTAACCAGGCACACTAAATACCCCTTATTTGCTAYGGTTGAGTTATCYAGCCAAACCATAAGATGACGAGTGGTTTCGATATTCCTCAGTTTGCACAGTTGCTGTTCAGGAGAAAGATCTCCCTGTAACTCATTTAGTTGTGATAGCCTCTCTGTATCACATTTCTCGGATAGGCTGTTGTAGCGTTCGCTGGACTGGTCTCTCAGAAATGGTTTTTGCATCTCAAGCATTTTCCTTCGGATATCATAAAGGGGAACTTTTCTTCCTTCAGTTGTAAATTCAACTTTCACAATCTCATTAGTCTTGCTCAATAGAAGCTTCTCATACTGTTAAAATGAAATATGATAGCATTATTTAATTTTAAATATGATTATTTACAACTTTCTTATAAATAGAATGTGTATGTTTAATGTGTTGTATAAAAATTAATATATTCAATAACAGTTACTACATATATTGTGCAAAATTTGTAATTTGCATCATAAAATTGTTTTACTTAAAAACTTGAGTTAACATATCTTTCTTGGTACAATCTCCACTCTCAATTTTTTCAATTAGCTGCTTCTTTATTACTTTAGGATGGACTTCAGTTAGCATTGCTATTTCCCCTCCAGGACCTTTCCTCTTTCTTCTCCTTATCACTGGATTAATCCTCTGTTTTTGTTGAAGGCGATTGATGTTAGTGCCCTGAGAAATTAGCCACTCTTTGACTATTTGTCCCCCATTGTGTACCAGTTTGCCCATACTGTTTTTAACGTTGTATTTCAGTGCCAACTGCCTCCAACTTACTGGGTGATTGTCTTCATATTCTAAAATTGTGAAAGGATTTTCAGATATSTATATAGAATTTTCAAAGATTTTAGGGAGGTCATGCATTGATATTGAYTCAGAGTTAATAAATTATAGTACATATTACAAAGTTGGTGTAGTTGTGTTATATTGCACAAGTTGAAATGTGTCCCTCTTAACTCAATGTCATATTATACTTCCTGTTGATAAAATAAAATTTGATATTTTTTAARATACTTTTTTATATATTCCATGTGTGTTGTTTGTATYWGACTGTATTTATGATAATTTTATACTGCATGTAATTATATGTACCTTCAACCTCTGCCTTGAGTGCTTCTTTATCCCAGTCTCCATTAACCCCAACATGGTCTTTCTTTCGCTTTATAGCTGGTTCATTTTCATTTATTTCTGACTGATGTTTCCTTTTTGCAGATTCCTTTGTCTCGAAACACAAAGCCATTCTACTTTTCTGCCACCCATTCAAGGAAAGCCTTCCGCCATAGCATCTGGTATTCAGTACATAACATGTTCGTCCGAACTTACATGATTATGATTTTTAAAACAAACCTTTCATTTTGCGAATGAAACCGAGCTGAAATATCGAAGTCAACAACAACCACCGAGCACACCATGTGCCTTTCGCAAAGCAGTCTGGGTTAAAACCACAGGCTGCCCAACACATCTCTCCAACATCCTCCCCTTCCTTAATGTGAACATTAACAATAATTCCAACTTGAACGTGTAAAAACTCAAACATTGAACAGTACATTATTTTTGAGTCAAGTGTTGATTGGGCAGAGTTTAACCACTGGTCTCTTTAGCACAGTGCCCTTTAGTTGAACGTCTGCAGTACGAACGTGGCCATCCAAACCTGGGTAGGTCTTCAGGATCCTTCCTAGCGGCCATTTTCCTCTAGGAGTGTCAGGGGAGATTACTAGGACAAGATCTCCTACTTTTAAGTCCCCTTGAGCCTTAAACCATTTTCCACGAGGACTCAATGATGGAAGCCACTCCCTTAGCCATCTTTTCCAAAAATGTCTAACAAGCTCTTGGACCCTACGCCATCTCTTCTTTAGATTAAATGCGGTATCATCCACTGAGTCTGGAGCAAAGTTGCCACCTATCTGGCCATGCAGAAAATGATTAGGACCTTCATCAGATGAATTAGCAGATTGGTAAGTGAGTGGTCTTGARTTTATTAGTCCTTCAGCACCTACGATGGCACTTCCAAGTTCTTCATCATTTATGTCAGCATTTCCTAATATCGCTTTGATCGCTTTCTTAGCTGCTTTGATCATCACTTCGTGGACACCATTAAAGTGTGGAGCGCCAGGGGGATTGAAGTGCCATTTAATTCCCTTGTTAGCAGTGGAGTCTTGAATCTTGTCTTTGTCAAGGGCCCTTACAAGTTCTTGTAGTTCTCTATCTCCGCTTACAAAATTTGTCCCATTATCTGAAACCATGACTTCTGGAATTCCACGTCGAGATACCATGCGATAAAATGCATTCAAAAAAGGGTCAGTGTCCATACTGTAAGCCATCTCTAAGTGCACTGCTCTACAAGACAGGCAAGTGAAAAGACAAAGATATCGTTTCTGTCGTGTTTTCCCTCTACCTTGCTTCGTCAGAAATGGGCCTGCAAAATCAACTGAAGATTGACTGAATGCTCTCATGGACTGGTGAGTGCGTAGATCTGATAATGGAGCCATAATCTCACTTGCTGGTTTGGCTTTACTTCTTTTACATGTGGCACATTCCCTTTCCCATTCTCTTATTGCTTCTCTAGCCGAAACAATCCAATACTTTGMTGATAGATGAGCAAGAACTTGGTTTGTCCCACCATGTTTAGCCTGAATATGGGCATCTCTAATGATTAATGAGGTGACAGCATGTTTACGAGGTAGTATGATTGGAAATCTGCTCTCCCATGAAAGACACTCAGCAAACTGTAAGCGACTATTGCAGCGAGCAAGGCCATCTTCATCAAGATCTGGACAAAGAGGTAGTAACTTGGAGGTAGAAGGTAATTTCTTTCCTGCTTTTAAACTAGCAATCTCTGCTGGGAAGTTCTCTAGTTGCGCTAGCTTGACGTAGCTATTTCTAGTGGGCTTAGAACTCCAATTACTCTTATCTTTGACGTTAAACGGCAGTTGGTTACAAAACGTATGACATAGGCGGCTACACGTACCATTCGTGTCGAACTTGAAAATCGAGTGGGGTTGAGACGGTCTTCTCTCGTCAGTAGTGTTAAGAATGACATATTATTCTCCACTTCGTCTATTTGTTGAATACTAAAACTGCAATCAAGGTACTGCCTTTTGGTTTCTGCTGTTGAGTTTAGTGATTGGGATAGCTGGAGATTCATAACTGGCCACACTTCAACGGACTGCTTAAGAAATTATGGCCCTTCCCACCAGATGCTGTCGCTAACTAGTGTCCTTGCAGGTAAACCTCGACTTAACTTGTCTGCAGGATTGATCTTTGTTGGAACATAACGCCATTGCGCTGGATCGGTCTTGGATTGGATTTCCCCAACTCTATTTGCAACAAATGGTTTGAATTGACGTGATTTTCCACGAACCCAGTAGAGAACATCATGACTGTCAGACCAAAATGTTACCTGGTTGATCGCTAGTCCACAAATGCTTACAGCTTTCTCTGCTATTTGTAAACCAACTAC